GATATGTCTTTGATAGGATCACCGCTGTCGAAATCATCTCGCTTGTAGTGATTGCCTATTTCAGAATCGATCTGGGCTATCTTCGTGAATGCTGTCGATATCTAAGTCGTAATTCTGTGATGATGGAATGCAGTGCGTACTCGACTGCATAATTACCCTGATGTAAGTGACCGGGACGCTTGTTTTCTTTTTGTATGATGACAGAACCCCAGTCCTGAAGCGATCACTCGTGGCTCAGCCAATGGTTTCCATTAATCAAGGCTGTCGGGCAACGTGCTAGAACCTGGGCGTAATGGGTATCGTCATCACGTTTCCTCGGACAATCGGGATGCCATATATCAATCCGGGCGAGGCTTGTCTTGTCCCGTTGTCGAGAGTGGAGATGCGTCTTGAAGCGATATCGATCCTAAAGCATATCACCCAGTTCTCTCGACGTACGCCCTGAGGCAGCACCCGTGTCGGTTGAGCGTTGGATCGGCCAGCTCGAAACGAAAATATGGCATACGTGGCGGCTAATGTGCGGTTAGGATCATCATTCAGGATGGTTGGCTGCGGTTCTCTGCTATGCATCGAGAATACGACGTGAAACTGCCCGCGCATCAACAGTGCAAGTGGAAGAAGCTATCCAGTACTGATATCTGCTCGTATGTTCGGCGCCCCTCGGGCGATATCGTATGGTTCAACCCTGATACTGGCGCCTTGGGAAGTTCGCATATATACAGAGTGTGCTGTTCTCGAAGCAATACCATATGGCTCGGGCTGTGCTGTGATTGTGCGATGCGGAGAGCTTTATCCATATGGCTTGGTCCACGTGACTAATTTGCGGCGACGACTGTTTTCGAGGCTCTTCCTTGTGATACGGCCGTGGATCTCCTTGACGCTTCCTTGGACTGTCTCTTTAGCGTTTCCTGGTCTTCCTCGCTGGCATTTTTGTGGCTCTTCAATCGGCTCCCTTCGCGAAAAGCGCCGTCTTGGCTTTTCTTCTTGGTAGTTTTCCGTACGATTTCAGGTCCTATTGGAGGAGCTTTTCCCCGGCATTTCTTCTCTTCATCTTCGTTATTCCTGTCAACCAACGGGTGTGCGGGTGGGCAGCCGATCGTACTCGGTCAATCTGATTGCCCTTCCAGCGTCAGGGCTGAAAGATTCGGATCGATAACGCGGCGCTCGGGCAGCAAGAACTGTGATTCTCTTATCTATACTATGCGCTTTGACCTTTTGCTTTCTCCGATTGGCCGCGACTGCCATTTAAAAGGGTATGCGGTGTCTCTGCCGCCTAAGTCTTTTCAAACATGGAATCTTACGGCGATCTCCTGATCCTTGATATCATCCTGCAGTCCAGGAAGCTGTTCGTTCATGTACTGGTCAAAATGTCGTCGGTTCGACTTTGACCTTGTTGATCAGTTTGCAAGTATCCTCTATCTAGCTTATGAGCCCGGTTGTCATGTCGATTGCTATAATGACAGGGGCCGTCCAGGTAAGTGTTGTCATGGTAATACTTCTGGTCTCCGTGCTGATAAGTTGTTATGATAGTCCTAGTCATATTGGGCATCCTCTGTAGCGAACCAGAAGCAAATAAAGAAGGATCTTTAGAGCGATGGGTTCGGTAGTATAGCAGCTTATTGCTGGACCCTCGTCATAGACGGACCGCATTATCTTTTCTATGAAGCCTGTTTCAGCATCACTGTCTCCGGTTCATCGTACGTATCCTTCATCGAACGCTTACGACATGTCATGCTCATAATTGAGTCCAGAATCCCAATAATATGGCCGGGGTTCCTTTTGATGCCGCCGTTCCTGGTTGTCGTCTCCTCCGTTGTTGGTGCTGTCTGGTGCGATTGGCGCGGCGAACCCAATAGCAGCTATCATCTGGCGAAGTCACCCGCGGCACGAGCAAGTGTTGGCTGCTGGCGGTGCACGTCTGCCTCAGGAGGTGCAGGAAATTCTTTTGGGCTTGTCGGCCATACGCGTGCTGTCATTCAACTTTGGTAATAAGCTTGAGTATCATCCGGAGGACACTTGTTGTGCCAACATGTTGGATGCGGCTTGGCATTGTCAAGGCGGGGCAAGCGAGTATCGGTGGATTTGAAGTTATTGTTCACTTCGGGCACCGGACGACGTCCATTGTTCTGCAAGAAGCCGTCATCCTGGGCAGAGCGGTCGCTGTACGAGCGACGGCTACTCTATACAGTCGGTCGCCATCGCGATTACGATAGGTTCGTTGGTGCTGATCTCCTCAATGCGGTTGTGGGTCTCGGTCACACCTTGGGCACTGATGGCAGGCGAGACTCTTGTTTCGGGTGTTGAGTTGGTACAGGCCATCCTCCCTCGCAATATGTTAGCTGGAAGACACGCATTGTGTTATGTCAAGGAGCAGTACGGGCGACTTGGTTTGAAGGATAACTTCGGTCAAGATAGGCGGCTAGCTTTGATTCATGGTTCGATAAGATTCAGTCCGCGCACGCGTTCAAGGTCAGTGATTCCCAGACGGCTCATTTCGTTCAGCATGATACCGGTGGCCGCAGAGATGATACTTGGAGGCATCACGTTCAGTACAAACGCTCGGTCTGCTGTGGCTCTGGACGCACATCATGTCCTCGGTTCTATAGGGCAAGTCGGCAAAAGAGAGGGTTCCCATAATGGCACAGCGGTGAAGGCGGAGAGTCTATAACCTGGCTTCGAATCAATGTTCGATCACGTCGCGATACTATCCCTTTCGGCATGATAGGCGTGCGACGTTCAATTTTCGGTAGAAGCTGTCGGAAGCTCCTCGTCCTTATGGATGCACACTGTCAAAAGCTCGCACATGCGCGTCAGAAGCTCGTCAGCTATGTAATCGTCCTTCAAGACCGTGATAATCCCATCGAAAGAATAGTCTCCAACTTGGCTGAGCAGGCTATCGTGCAAGAAGGTACATGCAGGGTCACGTAGCTGCGAGAAAAGGCCTGGTGCTTGGGGGTTTCCCGGCCGTGTGCCTGGGCCGGAATAGGCGTTCAAAGGCCTCTCTGAGGGTGGTAAATTCTTCACACGACGTGCAAGAATAAGTATGCAGGTGTTTTGGGCTGGGGCTTTCCTGCGCGAGGTCAGTAAGTTATTGTTGTCCAGCTCTTTTTTGTTCGATCCTTGATCACAGGGCATCGCTGATAACCCTGTAAGTTAACGAATATTATATAACGTCCCCTGTAGCGAGTACCATGTATGGGATATGCCGTTTCAAGTAAGAGACGCAGGTAAAGAGGCCGGAAAAGGTTTATAGTGAGCAGAAACCATGGGTCATGTGCTTGGCGTGCACGACTAGAAATACTGGGTAGTGAAATAAATAGAGAAATGCAATGAGATAGCAAAGGTGTCTGATATTGTCAAGCAGAGCGCAATTCTTACGAAGCAACAGCGTGAAAAAGAAAGAAGCTTATGCAAGGAAAGAAGTCAAGATTAAAGGTTGAAATAATCGATATCCTTGTATATTTGAACTCTGCGCGATATTTATATACATAGATCCCGGCCTTTTTTCTTTTTCTTTTTTTTTTTTTTTTTGACCCATAGGATAAATCAGATAATTGTGCGGACACTTATGCTCATATCTTACGGCATATAGAAGATCCCAGTCCTTTCATCATGTGCAGGACATCTCAAAATCTTTCTACAAACCCCAACAATGCGTCTAGTATTTTGCGTCCATCAGTGTTACAGTCCAACTCTACCGATAAAATCAGGGTCTGCGTAACTCATATTGACATTGTCAAACTACATCATCAATCCTGAGCCTCACACACGACCGGCTTTATTTATTCGTTGGCGCATTTTTTCGTCCCTTATCCTTTTTCTTTTGCGTCCACTTTTTGGTCTTTATTTTTATTTGAAGAGACCACTGCCAGCTTGCAGCATTACACGACACCCATATCTTTTTTTATTTCACTACCTTCCTACTCCATTTTGCTTTTATTACTGTATTTTGCACTTTTTCTTTCTTTATTTCCCTTTTTTTGCCTTTGCTACTTTCATTTATCTCGTCTAGCTTATCTCCTATTCGATGCTACATCTTTATTTTAGTATGAGTAGCTAAAGGTGGCTAAACGAATAATTCAGACTTAAAACAAGATACAGCACTATTATTCTTCAATTTTATTTTTCAGGCTGTCTTCTCATACTCGCTGAGACTACCTGACACAAAAGGTCGATTCATTTAGCGGTCCCCCTTGATCTCATTGCGAGCCGGCACCCAAAAGCACCAAATTGCAATTCCACCATTCCCAACATCTTCAATCCTTGGTGTCATTTTATTTTATTTTCTGCGGTCTTTTATGGACTTCGTCGATATGCATCTATTTTCATATAATAGAACGTTATCAGACAGTATATTATTATATATATTCCCTTCTGTTCTGCTTAGACTTACCACACTTTTAAATTGATGCGACTACCAGTGGCATGCAAAGGATATAACTGTACAATATCACGTTAGTTTATAGACAAGGGAATAAAAGGTGTGTGTCACGTTATCATGGACAAGAAAATTTATGTAGTGCATCAGCGGACTTCATGTATTTGTCAACGGACGAACTTTTGCTTAGTATGTGATACACTGAGCGGATCACCCATCTATAATACATCCCATTTTCTAGAAATGTATCCCGTTTGTGTATCTCAGTACCTAATACCCTTATACCTGTCGCGCTTTAAATCTCACGGCTGTGGAAATTTTCTCGTTTACAGATAGTAGTACTACCACCTGCTTTGTTATCATCATGTTGAGGAGGTATTCATAGGCTTACAGACCTGATAAACAGTACTTCGATGCGTAAAAGCTCGGACTTCCGTATGGCAGTGATTTCATGCCGCTTGTGTTACATTCGGAGCCGTAACATCAGATTGAAAATTGGGTCAACTTCAAATCGCTGCTGCGGGGCCCCCAATTACCCAAATTGCTTCATATTTTGTAGACTAGCGCTCCCACCCTTTGTAAATATGTATCTAGAGTTTGACGACAATCGAATGACAAAAATGCCCTATTAGCTCAGTTGGTTAGAGCGTAGTGCTTATAGTTAAAGCTATGCTTGAGGCACGCTAAGGTCGCGAGTTCGATCCTCGCATAGGGCAAGCCATTATGTTTTGAGTGTGCGGGTAAAGTTTTTACCTTACCGAAGTGTTTGAGTCACTTTAGAGGTCATAAAACGATCGTCAAACGACCCGTAAAACTGGAGTCCAGCCGTCGCCCAACCAATCGCTGCGGAGGCTTCATCCGGCTGAAAAACTTTGATAGGGAACCAAGTTGGATGCAAAGCAACCTTGTGGAATGCAAGGGCAGTCATCTAGAGAACAGTAATCTTATTCAGAGTCGAAAACCGACGTTATTTCCTGTCTAATTCGTATCGAGACCTCGTCTTAGCTTATACCTTATATATTTTGAAGGTCCGTCCGGTTTTCCTTGACATTGTAAGGTATAAACAAAATGGAAATGAATAAAGGGTACCGTTATTTTGTGTATATAAAAGAGGAAGAGCAGGAATCATCCAAAGCAACAAGTAAAAGGAGCAGTAAAAAAAAAAAGATTTCACCGGGATTTCATAATAAAAGTCCGATGCTGTCAGATTTAAAAAGCTTATTTGTTGCGTTTTATATACCGACGGTATCAGGGGTGTCAAAGCAAAAGCTCCATTGCAAAAAAAGATTACAAGTTTAATATAATATATAAATTTTAAATGAAGAGATGCAAGCTATGGGCTAGGCAGTTTGGCATAGGAAATATTTAATCTATACTCTGTGCTTAACGATTGATTCTTCATTATGACTGTGAAATACTACGCCCACGCCAGTTTCCAACTCCCCCCACACCAGCTTTTTTTTTTTTTTTTCCTTCGTATTTTTAAGCTCTCCCGGCGAACAAAATTGGATCCAATGGGCAAAGTAATCGAACTGTATTTAGCATGCTGGTTTCCCGCCATTGCAGGTGACCTTTCTTCAAGCGGCAGTGGCTTTGTGAATATCATATTGTACGTAGCAATCCCTTTTCAAGATCTCCGTATGCATGAGTCTCGCAATGATATAGTACCTGTGCATCTGATACTCAGCTCGAAAATATCACAGAGTCAGAAGCGTATTACTGTGCCTTTCTTAGTCGCCCATGCTCCCTGCAGTATAAACTGGCACTGGTAATAAACTTGGTCGCTGCGATACAATTAAAATTAGATGTTACCTGAAAAGATATAGCCCTTTTCATAGTCTTTATGACCTTTTAGAGAGACAGAAATGTATCAAATTCGAGAAGGAACAGAAGTGCAGCTGTGCCCTACGCTGTTAGAAAAAATGGCTGTGGGGGAGCTGAAAATTGGTTTAAGCTTAGCACATGATTTTCTTGACTGACTACTTTCTATAGCCATTTTGAAAATTACTGTATACGTTGGTCTACGTTGAATATGAGAAAAGACCAAGGGTGAGGGGACCTAAAGCATATCACTTCTCTAGTGCCCCCGCGTAGGAAATATGATTTGGCTTGATCAGATTCATCCTCAGCAAATTAGCGGGCGTAAAGGTAGAGTCTCCCTCTTGTATTGTCCTTTATTAGCGTCCCTCTCATTCGGCCCAAGTAGGATCAGTCTCTTGTAAACATCAATCTACGGAGAGTATTTGCATCAGCAAGGGAGAAAGAAAGGTTACGATAATGTAGCAATCACGTGCGCCATCTTTTGTCCCCAAGCCGTGGAGTACGAAACCGGTAAAAAGTCTCTGTTCATCCAAAGCTCGAAAGCGGTGGGCAGCGATAAGCACAAACATGCTGTAGCAAATCGTTCATACTGGCCTTTTCATCCCTCAAAAACTTGCTGTACGTGCAATATCACCGAGTGGTAGAAGCAACTTATATCACATATCGACCAAAGCTGGAGGGGACAAATGCGAGCTGACCATGGGGTAAAAATGCCTTCATCTGCAAGAATAACAGGTTGGTCCGGTTATTCCTGAGCACGGAAACAATGTTGTTGAACGGTCGATTTATTGCGTGCTAATCAAGGTCGGCTAAATGAGTTTTGATGGATACGATTATAACCCAAAGTACTACCTCGTATAAAGCAATATTACCGAGGAGGATTACAGTGTTTATGACCGAGTGGATGAAGATTTGCTGGCAGGAACTGTACCCGAGTTCAAGAAAGTGCAACTAATTTAACTCGCAAGGCATGGCAAAAAAGGCATTTGAATGTGGAGATGTCGCCATTTGACGCCATGATAAAATTTCTGCAAAAAGATCGACCAATCGCCTGTTGCACAAAGATCGGATTTATGCACGGGCCTACTTTATTTTATATTGCTTTCAAACAAGAGTAATAAGGAAAATCAAGGCAACCACAGCCAATTTCCCCTGCTGGCGACATGACGAAGAAAGAAAACCACGACGAGAAGAGTGACAGAAACAACAGTAAAGAGGCCCGCGACGATGACATGATCGGCGTGATATTTGCTCGTCCAATGCAATGGGATGGAAGTCGCGCGACGTGGAAAAAAAAGTTATGCCTCGAAAAACCTCAGACGGGACGAGGTCGACTGTAGATACCAGTGCCAGACGCCCTAGTTTACCCAGCTGACACACGCTTTGCCTGGAATGTCCTTGTCCCAGAAATAGTCGTTAATTTGATTGAACAAGACCAGAATGTCGGTTATGAATAGATTACCGATACTCCGAGAGAAAGTAAGGACTTTGGCAACGGATGTTGCCCCATGAATGGCGATGATACCAGTCGCGGAGAGAGTGACGTGTAGTCGCTCAATTGAGCATTTTATAGTGCAATAAAATACATGGATTCCTTTTTCGTTTTTTTTGTCTCAATGCACAGTATCATACATAAACACGAAGTTATATTCATTGTATCCTCTTTTATGGACAAAAAGACAGAAAAGACTTTGCACGTTACAAAACACTACGCGAGTTACAGAAGACTAAACAAATTGCAAAAAAACGGTAGTGTAACGTGCATCAGCAAAATGGGGCGAAAAGGATTCCAAGCGTTACAAAAGACAAACTACGCTGCAAAAGGTGATGTGCGTTACAAAAGCATGTGCATTACAAGAATTGACTACACGCGTTAAAAAAGGGGAGGGGAGGCCATACTAAAACGACCAAGTTTTTGTAACGCGTGCAGTCTTTCCCATTGAATTGATTTAAAAAGTTGCATCTTTATCCCTCTGCCGTCTCTGTACATTCCACAGACCCTTTAATCCCTTCTGATCTTCCTATTCTTCTTTTTCTATCGTGAGGCAAACAGCATCCGAGGGAGAAACACGAATCGAGCCCACGTAAACCCAGGAGGGGTTTGCCCAGACTTTGGGAAGCTTCGGGAATTTGCCCGGCTAGCTCGTGGAAACGTACATTCGCAGCTATTGTTCCACGACAGGTTGGATACGCCTTACGAATAAGCGTCTTGGAGTTGGAGCATCTCGGTAGAGTCATATCTACGTTCCATGGTAATATTCTAGCGCGTACGATGCCAATTACTTTCAGGAGTGGCAAATTTGTAAGCGCTGCCGTTCCAAGTACATGAGCCCAAAAATGATGAAAAAGGGGTATTAAAGTTCTACGCAAAAGTCAATGATTGTGGAGATTTCATGTCGTCACGACCCACACATCCGTTGTAGTGACATACCTTTTCCTCCATATAGCAGAGAAAAATTGTTTATTTGCGATCAAACGATTTGAAGCAATCCTATAGTATGCATTATAAGACGACTATATTATCTACCGTTCTAAAAAATACATGCCTTTTTCTTACTAGAACTTTCAGGAAATGGCTCGTCCTTTTTTTTTTTTTTTTTTTCTCAAGACAGTACCGTGTATAGTATCGCGCTGGCAAGTGTAGTTGCATCGTGACAGGGCGATACGACTAATTCGTCTTGATTTGGGGCACCCATGTCATCAGATCGGCTCAGCGCACTGACGCACACACGCACGGACGGCGATTTTTGATCATGGGGACCTAAATACCAACAGTCATGAAATAGATCAAAACCCGCAGCTATTCCAGCCTGACCTGGTCATACTCGACAATCTTTGCCTCTCAACGACTGCGGGCTCGCTCAACGTGACCCACCCAAGAGCCACGGTGGTACTAGATTCTCGTTTTATGTAGCATGCCGGAATCATGCATCTGTGCTACGAGACCCGTATTTCATCTGACGGAATACTGTATCTTTATTTTCATTTGCCAAATAGGATGTTTCGATGTTTATTTTTTTTTGAGACATTCAGAAAAGTAGCAATGTATAAAAATGTGTGTTTAGGTGATTAATATGCCAAATAAGTGATAAAAGGAAGATGCGGAGGGGATATCATATCGGATGCGAGGTCGAGGTATAGGAAAGAAGGGGGCATTGGAGACAGTGATGTATATAATGACTTAGTAAAAGATGGGCAGATCCCAGCCCTTGATGATGGGATCATTGAAGCGTAGGCGCATCTCGAGCTGGTTGATTGCCTGCACGTCTTCCTCGTCCATCTTCCAGTTGAGCGCTTCCAAGTTATCCTTCATTCGATGGACCGAAAGAGACTTGGGCACTACACCAACGTTGCGCTCGAGCGACCACCGCAGCAAGACCTGGGCAGGTGATGTGTTATACTTGGCTGCGACATCCTTGATTGTAGGGTTCTCAAAGAGAGACTGGACGGCCTTGGCGTGCTTGAGACCACCCGCAGCAAAGGAGGCAGGTCCAAAGGAAGAGTAAGCTGCGACAGCAATGCCCTGGCGCTGCACCCAGTCAACAAGCACGGGCTGCTGGTGATAAGGATGGAGTTCGACCTGCAGAAGCGAGGGCTGGATGCGGCAGTAGGAGAGGAGATCCATCAGCGACTGGACGTTGAAATTAGAGACGCCAATGTTGCGGGCAAGACCGGCGTCTACACAGGCTTCCATGGCTGCCCAGCACTCGTGCATCGGGGCGCGTGCCCGGATCACTTGGGTCTGACCGGGAACGCACCAGCCAGCAGGATATTTGGTCTCGATTGGGACGTATTCGGTGCCGACCGGGAAGTGGATCAGATACATGTCAACGTAGTCGAGGCCGAGGTCTTGCAAGCTCTTCTCGAGAGCGAGGCGAACATGGTCCTTGCCGTG